AACAGCGCAAGCTCATATGGACACGTTGGGGGTGCATTTTTGGACAAGCTTGCGTCGCTATCGTGGCCAACTTCGATTGTACCGTTTCCAAGGGTGAGGCTCGCTTGCTTGATGACACAAATGTTGAGCCCGATCGAAAAGGTCATCGACGGGAAGTGTTGTTTTCTCAAGGAATCGGACATCGGGCGGTTGAGCCAGAAGGCGAACCTCGAAGCCGTCGAGATTGCCGAAGGGATGATGGAGAAGTCTCGGGAATGGTTGCGAAGCTTCCAGCTGCCGCGGTCGACCATGCTTCAGCTGATATGTTCGCACGACATGAGGCTCCTGTGTTTCATCATCAAGAAGGGTAAAGCGTCCTCGGAGGGTATCGACTACCCCAGCATTGAGGCCGCGTCACAGGTTCTAGTGAACGAGCTGCGCGAGCTCACCAAGGGTGACGTCCCCAACCCGTGGCTGAAGCACAGGCTGAATGGCAAGCAGGAGCTAAAGGCGCACTCCACTCGTCCTCTCCTCTATCCCCTCCTCATCCTCCTCCTCATCCTCCGCCTCCTCCTGCTCCTTCCTCGTCTTCCTCCTTCCCCAGCCGTCTCCTTCTCCTCCTCTGCCTCCTTCCCTCCTTGTCCTCCTCCTCCTCCTCCTCCTCCTCCTCATCCTCCTAAGTGGTGGAGTGCGCCCTTGGGTCTCAGCGTTTGCCTTCAGATGCTCAGCGTGGACACCCCGCAGGAGGAAGCCGATGACACCCAGGTGATGGAACAGGTCTCTGGATCGCAAGCCACCCCCTTGATGAAGATCGGCGAAATGAAAGATCGAGTCTCGAACATGAATAAGCACGGTTTCTTCGTAGGAGGCATTTGCAAGAAGAAAAAGCAGAGCCCCGACGCGCCGATCCAACTGTACAAGATTGACCAGATGGACTCGACAGTTGCAAGTTTGGTACCTACTGGAGTCCGCGCGTCTGGTAGCCATCTATCCGCGGCATTGCACGCGCTGAAGGAGGAGTGGGCACCTACGAGCGCCAAGGTCCAAGAGCTAGTCAACTACCAGCTGTGGACGCCTGAGCATTCGCAGTCCTGGATGGTCAAGTTCGCCAAGGCCAACCTGCTGGCAGCGCTTCACGCCATGAGCGAGAAGATGATGGCTAGCGATGTGTATAGTGGTCTCGACATCTTCGTGACGCCCTTTGCGGTTAAGGCAAAAAAAGACTTCGGCGTCAATTGCCTTAACCTGGCGCCTGTCACCGACACCATCAAGGAGAGGAACGCCACCGAGAAAGCCAGCGACAAAGCCATCGACCTTGGCCAAGTGATCGCTGGATTGCCTGTCAGCTTCAGCCTGGTTCCCCACATGGTGGTGAACAAGCCAGACGGGAACTTCTGCACGCCATTTTGGGCCGTGCAGCCAGCCCCCGACAAAGTAAAGGGGAACATGGATTACGTCAACAAAAAAAAACAAAAAAAAAAAAAAAAAAAAAAAAAAAAAACAAGAAAAAAAAAAAAAAAGACAAAAAAACAAAGAAAAAAAAAAAAAAAAAAAAAACAGAAAAAGAAAAAAAAAAAAACAAAAAAAAAAACAAAAAAAAAAAAAAAATAAAAAAAAAAAAAAAAAAAAAAAAAAAAAATAAAAAAAAAAAAAAAAAAAAAAAAAAAAAAAAAAAGTAAGAAAAAAAAAAAAAAAAAAAAAAAAATAAAAAAAAAAAAAAAAAAAAAAAAAACAAAAAAAAAAAGCGAAAAAAAAAAAAAAAAAAAAAAAAACAAAAAAATAAAAAAAAAAAAAAAAACCGAAAAAAAAAAAAAAAACGAAAAAAAAAAAAAATAAAAAAAAAACAACAAAGCGCTCAACATGACAATCGATCAAGACGGAAATCAGATTGGCAAGGTTGCTGTGACGATACCTGTAATGACCAACACCGTCGCTGTCAAGGCTGGCGACATACTCCACCTCGTCAGGAAGCGTGGCCTGAAGAGGCGCGACAGCGGTGAGTCCGCAAGCGGTGCAGGCGTGAGCCGCAAGAAAAAGTAGTTTGTACAGTTTCTTTAGCCTCAGCTACCTCCTGCGAGCAGGTCGGCGCGCGGGTTGCCGACGGTAGCAATGCCTTTGATCCGAGCTAGGAGGAGGGATGATGAGGAGGAGGAGGAGGAGGAGGAGGAGGAGGAGGCGGAGGAGGAGGAGGAGGCGGAGGAGGAGGAGGAATGGAAGACGGAAGAAGGGACTACGATGTGGAGAAGGAGGGCGAGAGAAGGAGGATGAGGAGAGTGATATCGAAGTAAACTTGCATTTTTATGGATCCCTGTGGTCGGCCTGTATTTCTCAGCACTGCCCGCCAGTCGGTTGCATTCAGACGTGGGCAAGCAATCTCCCTGTGCGTGTCGATGTGCCGTGCTCGTTTTTGTTTAGTTCGGAGCTGCCGAGCGCAACAGCAATGCGATTAGGTCGAGGCTTCCATTGACAGAATAGATCCTCATCCTCCTCCTCCTCCTCCTCCTCCTCATTTGCACCATCCTCCTCATCCTCATCGTCTTCATCCCTCCCCCTTGACACATTTTGCGCGCATCAAGCGACGGTCAAGCATGTGGGCCACCCAAGAGGATCACCCAAATAGCAAATTCAAGAGGTCACGAAGGGTTCAATGCAAAAGGCTCACCCCAAAAGGGCAACCCCAAACGGGCCACCCCAAACGACCACCGCCCCCCCCCAAAAAAAAAGAAGGCGTGATACCACAAACGGGCAACCATAAAAGGGCAACCCCACAGGGCCACCTCGAATGGACCGCTCCAAAATGGCAACGACAAACATGCAGAAGGCCACCCCGCAATGAGTACCCCAAGCAGTACAACCCAACCAAACTCACGCATTATCGCAGGCAGCCATGGCGCCTTAAGATGCATCGAGCCCCCTCGTTTGGATCCCCCCATAGCTATTTGGCTCAATCAGCTTTCGCCCTCTCTACTGGAATAGTTTGCTTCACAACTCGCTGCTACAATGCCGTTCGATTTTGAATTTGCCAATCTGAAGCCCATCAAGGCAAGCAAGACTGTGACAGTCGACTCGCCCATCGGTGTACGCTGGGATTGGCATGGCGCGCCATCTCGCACGGTCGGTGGTCTTGAGTTCCTGGTGCCCGAGAAGGGCGACAAATCGATGCAAGCCTGGGCGACTGGGACGAGGGCTTACAACGCCTCAGTCAGTCGTGTGATCTCTGAGCTCACGAATTTTCAGAAGGCAGCCAGTCGCGCGGAGCTTGGCCATGATTGCGCCGCTGCAGGGGCAGCGCCGTCGGAGCACAAGCAGAAGATGCAGAACAAGGCGTTGAAAGCACTGGCTGAAGGCACCCAATCGTCCACTGTCGATGTCGAACTCCCCGCCTGTGCCGTCAAAGGCCAGCACGTCGAGGCGATCACGACGTCGATGCCGCTCAACATCAGCCCGAAGACCTGCGCGCTCATCCCGCTCAATCCCAAGGTGATCACTTGGGTTTGGCTCAGGATGCAGTCGGCGATCGAGGAGGACAATGCTGATGACTATGACCAGCCCAGGAAAAAGAAACCCAAGACTGACCATTCGCCATCTGAAGGGAAGGCGTCCTCGTCAGATGGAGTTCCAGCACGCAAGTAGAGTAGGACCTCGCTCCACGTGTGAAGAGCGTGGGTAACTGCGCGTTTGCATGATAAAAAGGAATAAAAAAAAAAAAAAAAGAAGAAAAAAAGCGAAAAAAAAACAAAAGCAAAAAAAGAAGGAAAAAAAAAAAAAGAATAATCAAATGAAAAAAAAAAAGAAAAAAAAACAAAAAAAAGAAAAAAAAAAAGCCTGATGTTCAGAGGCCTCACACCGTTCGGAATCATACCTGCTAGGATTCGCGGGGTGGATCACTTAGCAGAGCCAGTGCGAGATGGGCGTGCTAGCTTCGCAGCTGGAAACATCATCAGCATCCATATCACACTCCTCACATCTCATCCTCTCCCTTCTCCTCCTCCTCATCCTCCTCCTCCGCCTCCTCCGCCTCTTCCTCCTCGCCCGTCTCATCTCCGTCCGACCCCCCTCCTCCTCCTCATCCTCCTCCTCCTCGTCCTCCCTCCACGTCATTTTCATGCTTCTCAACCTCATCATCTTCATTCTCCACCTCGTCCTCACCTTTCTCATCTTCCTCCTCCGCATCCTCGTCCTCGTCCTCCTCCTCCTCCTCCCTCCCTCCCCCTCCTCTCCTGGCTATTGGCGGCTGATCCTGGCAAGCGCTCTGCGGGGGCGGACGACTCTTCTCCCATCTCCCCTACTTGCATGGCCCCCCCGCTTTGCACGCTCCCTTGCCGTCTACATGCCTCGAGGACTTAGCCTGAACCATGTCGAAGGCATCTTCAACGCTAACCAAAACCGACGACATTTACATACCCAAAGCGCGCCAGATTGTACCAGATAGAATTTTGGAAATCTCCTGAACATTCTCATTTCGAAAGGTCCCGGAGGCCGTCACCACCGAAGTCTTTCGAAATCGAAAGGTCCTGGAGGCCGTCGTCACCGAAGTCTTTCGAAATCGAAAGGTCCAGGAGGCCGTCATCACCGAAGTCTTTCGAAATCGAAAGGTCCAGGAGATTCTCAGATTTCAGTCTCACGACCCTCTCATCAAATCCCAAAGATTCCGACTGTGTGACAATGGTAGGAGATGGAGATGTTGAGGTCGGGTATGAGGTGAGGAATGATGCGACGACGAGGACAACGCCGAGGATGGTGAGACCGAGAAAGACAAGGTATGAACAAATTACGAACAGGTGTAAACGGTGCTTGTGACGATGCACACGAGCCAACTCAACGTGCTGTCCTCTGTATGCCGTTGCTAGTGCTACCTCTTTCCCCTGCTAAGCATATTCCTGTAACTGCTGCTGCTACTAGCCATTCCCTTTTTTCAGCCACCGTCCAAACCATAGCCGCTTTGGCTCAACCCATTTTGGCTCATCTTGGGATCTGCGAATCCGGCTTGCTGGCGCCCACCAGCCGGCCTTTCTCTTGACATGGCTTCGTTTCAGAAGATACTTTCTGAGATCAATGGTGCTACGAATTTCGTTACCATGCGATCTAGTATCGCTGGCGATGCAGCGGACATTGAGAAAGTCAAGTTGTCGTTGGCTTCGTCTCTCTCGAGCATGGTGAGTTCCGTTGCGTGGCAAATGGACAGCGCGTCTGCCACGCAGTTGATGCATGCGGTACAGTCCAGCTGCTTCGACAACGCCCAGAAGAAGTTGATCGCTGACGCCATCCAAGCGAAGCTCCTAGGCTCTTCACCTTCTTCAGGCTTAGGTGCGCATGAGAAACAGTCCTGGGTGGTTGCCAACGCCGTGCTGAAATATTTTACTGCGCGTGATTGGGTAGTGATTGGAGATACACACATGTCCTTCAACTCCGACGTCAAGGCTTCTGTCATTCTATCCAGGTTTGGGCGGGCAGGGCTGGTCAAGCCCAATGAGCCTGCGTGCAAGCAAATTGTGACTATGCTGGCCGCTGCCACGTGGGCCCATAACCGACCTTCGTGCAAGCAGTTGTACGATCACGTGCAGAATTTGGCGAAGTGCTTCAAGAAACTTCCGAATCCTCCCCTCGACTTGCCAGTCATTCGCAAATGGCCTGAGCCCCCGAGCGAGCTCCCCGAGGAAGTGTACAAGGCCCTCTATCCTGATGAGACCGACCCGCCAATCGTCATGGCACTCGACAGCTTCAGCACCGTGATGAATGAGGTATCGTGCCGCCACTCCAACAAGAAGGTAAGGGATACTGTCGGGCCCAGGGCTTCTTCGGCCCAGCAAGTGCCTACACTTCACCTACATCAGCCTCAGCCCTCCTCCTCAGCTTCTGGACTGCCATTCAGCCTCGTGCAGCTCATGGGGGCAGCTCAGACTATGGGCCTCACCCCCGCTCAGGCGATGCAACTGGGCATGGTTGGGGCTGGAGTCGGGATTGATGGGCAATGTCAGCTTGGCTCTGCTGATGCGCTCGGCAAGGTCACCGTTGGTTCCTGGCAACCGCAGCGTAGCCCCCTCATGCTGGAGAATGGCACGCCGTCAATCGATCCTTCCAGCAGCGCCCAGGGCAGCGCAGTGAGCGCCTCGCTGAATGCGATCGCCAAGGCTCCCCCGTCACAACCGCTGGCAGGCTCTGAGCCACAGCGCGTCGCCACCGCTGCGCTTGAGATCCCGACGGACACAGACTTTGCCGCTGCATTGGCCTCTGAAGTGCCGAGTAAACGAACGGCTGGCGTCACGGAGGAGGAGGCCAAGGCCACGATTTCGAAAATGCAGGAGGAGCAGGCAATGATCGTCGCCAAGGCTAAGAAGAAATACCTCCCTGATGAGGAGGAGGAGGAACATGCCGAGCACGCTACTGAGGCCCCGACTGTAACTCCGAAGGGCAAGAATCGCAAGGCCATGTCAGCCAAAGGATCTGGCATGAAGAGGCCTGCAGCTGCCTGTGAGTCTACACCAAAAATGCCGAGCAGCGGCTCCGTCATTTATAAGGGAGGGAGGATCCTCCCCTCCAGCAGCAAAGGCGGCTGGAGGGTTTGGCCAGATCTTTCGAACGTTGGCCGTGAGAGGTGCATTCCGTTTGGCTCATCCAAGCCCAGCTCGTTCAGACAGGCGTTGAAGTTTATCGACGAGTCGGGCTGCAAAAAGAGGTGAGCACTCTTTGTCTTATTCTGCTGAAGCTGTCGCGAACAGCTCGTTAGAACCATTGCCATGGGGGCGCGTAGATCGCTGCCCGACTTCGGGGGCATGACTTCGGGGTTCGCATGCTTGTCGGCAATTTCTGCGCGAGGCGCAATGTCCAATCACGCCTGGCAACAATCGAATTCGCACTAGACCATGTACTTGCGTACGTCCCAAGCGGGACAGCTTGCATATAAAACATCGCGCACCCCATCATCGTCGACATCATTGGCATCGGCCCCTTCACCATCAACATCGTAATTCTACCATCCTCTTCTTCATCGTCCCGCTTGCCTCGTTGACCCGCTGCCCTCCCTCTCTCTCTCACGCATGCGCGCTATCTATCCTTACCATGGTTTGACTTTGCGGCTCTACTACTCCCAATCCTTCTTCTCCGTCGATGCCACGCTCGCGACCCCAGAAGACACTGGAAATAGCTGTGATTACTGCCCAAGCCCTCTGAAGCCTCAGCGGTCCCCTTCTTACCTTGTACGTTTTGTTTTGAACCTGGGAGGGAATCGGATTCGCATTCTGGGGCCTCGAAAAGCTGGCACAACACAAAAATGCGATCGAAACTCCAACGTGACGAGCTCGGTAGTGCCAGCGAAACCTATGGACCGTGCCAAGACATTTCCCTGGGAAGCGCCCAACGATAACGACAACAACCGACGAGCGGTGGAGGAGGGGAAGGAGGGCGAGGAGGAGGAGGAGGAGGATGAGGAGGAGGGGGAGAAATCATCGTTCCTGTCCTCAGTCTGCTCCGTAGCCCAGCTTGGCTCCAACAATGGACAGAGCGACCAAATTGCGCAAGATATCAGATGCTCGGCACGCGCTTCCGCACGTGAGCAAGACAGCGCTATCAGCATTCTGCGCTGCTGCTCGCCGCGGCGACCTCCCTGAGATCGCTTCGACGAAAGACATCAGGGATGCTAGGGACGCATCGGCTGACATACTGACTCCTTATGGTCACGTAATGCACACCGTGCAGATTCATCCGAGAGAGGGCGGCCCAATCGACGTTGAGATAGTTGATCCCATTCCGTACATATACGCGCTTGCCAATCGGTGCCCAAGGTTCGTCGAAGTGCTCAAGGCTGGCCTCAGGAAACATCCTTGCGATATATCTCGCCCGTGGTCAGTGGTACTGTATTCTGATGAGGCCAAACCTGGCAACAGGCTGAAACAGCATAACCGTCGCGCGCTACAGCTGGTTTATTTCAGTTTCTTCGAACTGGGCCCCCCTGCTTTATCAAAGGAGGACTTCTGGCTTTGCGTCGGCGCAGTAAAATCGGATGACATATCATCATGCAACGGTGGCATGGCCCAACTCGTGGGCTGCATCTTGCGTCGCATGTTTAACCCTGAAGCCCATGATCTGATGCTCAGTGGTATGACGCTGGACTTCCCCGATGGCTCCTCCACCAGGTTCGTTGCCAAGTTGGTGAGCGTTCTCGGTGACGAGTCTGGGTTGCACCAGACTTGGCTCTGCAAGGGCAGCGGAGGAACCAAATGCTGTTGCCAGTGCCTCAACATCGTCAACCGTAATTGGGCGGGGGCAGATGAGCTTGGGGAGGGCACGCTGCTTCAGGACTACACCGCCGCCGCTGACCTCAGCAAGTGCGTGCTCCACACCAAGGCTTCCATACTTGTTTTGGTGGGCGATCTTGCTGAGAAGAAGGCGACGATGGGGAAGACTGCGTTCAAAAAGTATGAGACCGATATGGGTTGGAACTACTCACCTTACAACTTGCTTTCGGATCCGCACCTCAAGCACATTGTGGATCCAGCGTCCCAGAACACATTTGATTGGGTGCACAATATTTTGGCTGGAGTCTGGGGTTCGACCGCATACCAGGCTATCTATGCAATTGGGCAGTCTGGCATCAAATCGAAACATATTCTGGCATACCTCGAAATGTACAAGTGGCCACGCAGGGTGCACAGCAAATCCAATACAGGCGTGGGTATGTTCTCAGTGAAGCGCGCAGACAGCAGCTGGAAAAGTCAGTCGTGGAAAGGCTCTTGTTCTGAAGTGTTATCGGTTCATGCTCCCTTTGCGCAGTTCTTCCGATGCAGAGTGCTACCTGATTTCCCGTGCCATCGTGATACTTGTGAGGCAGTCATGTGCCTTTCAACGTTGATCCACATGTTGTGGCATTGTGCAAAATTGAGGGTGTCTGCTCTAAGTGTCGCGACCGCAACTACAAACTTCCTGAATGCGTACATTCGTGCCTTCGGAAAAGATCCGATGATCTGGAAATTCCACGGAATAATCCACCATCCCCAATACATTTCCCGTTGGGGATGGCCCCCTGGGACTCTCACGATGGAAAGGAAGCACAAGTTTGCCCTCAGGCACGCAGAGGATCACATGAAAGACACCAAGGGTGTCATCAGGGAGGTCATCTCAGAGAGCATGCACAATCTTAGGAATGCCCGTTGGCTCGATTTGTCGACTGGCCTTGTCGAGCCGAAGGCTCCCACCAAGAGCTTGAAAGAGCATTTGGATTCTACGTTCGGTGCTTTAGAACATTTCGCTGCATCAAAGGCTCGTTTCAACGAGTACGACGTCGCCTGGATCGGTGATGTCGTTGCTCTGAAACAGCTGCCAGCAGGTTGGATCATCGCCAGAGTGTTGTTTTTCGGTAGCACCGCGGGCGTTGCGTATGCCGCAGTGCATCCCTTTAAGTGCACGTCCAAGTCCAAATGGTCCAGCACGTGGGAGAAACTCGAAGCTCCTATGATGGCAGATCTAGATGATTTCCTGGAGACGCTCATCCATTACGGCAGCGATTCCAGTCTTACTATTTTGCATCCTTTGTCGCTAGTGCAGTGATTGTTGCTCGTTGGGTATGCGAACAATTCGCCTGCTGCCACTGCAAACACTGAAGCGGGAGAGAGGGAGGAGCGAAGGAGCAGAGCAAAGGAAGGACGTCAAGGAGGGAAGCGATTGAGAGAGATACGACGGCACAGAGGGAAAGGAACGATGGGAGGGGATGAGGAAAAAGAAGGGGAGGAGAAAGGATGCGAACTGGGACGAGAGACGAACGGAGAGAGCTACGACAGGGAGCGGGAGGGCCGAGCTAGGGAGAGAACGACGCCGCACTCCTGAGGATTCAAGGCCGTCCGAGCATTGATATACTCAATGCCCATCGATTTTCGCGCTTACCTCTGCAGGCTTCCGCCACATCCGCCGATGATGTTCCGATGGTATCCCGATGGAGTCCCGACGGTGTTTCGATGATGTCCCGATTCTAGAAGGTTCATTTTCATGGGAAGCTGGCAGACGGATGGCCGCCGACGGGCCAACAAAATGAAAACCGAAACCTCTGGGCCCATGATTTCTGTATTCCCTGGACGCAAATTCACCTTGAAGTAATGGGTGTTTTTCTCGAGCTAGCGCTCGGTAACCCAATTAACTAAACTCTGCTAAATGATCTGCAGCCCTTACATAACCTATTTAGCGGGATAGCTAATCAAGTTAGCAACTCACTAGCAACCCTTACGGACCATACAATTACTAAAGGTTAGTAGAGGGGTGCTAACACCATAGCCAAACCTTCACAACCCCTAGTAACCAAGCCCAACCCCTAACAACCATTGCAAAAGTTAACAACCCCCTCGTCCACCCAAGTACCGTCATCCTCACCCCCGGCGCCGTGCCCAGAGCCCAGAGGAGCCCAGAGCGGCCTCCGGCACCGTTTCCGGACAGATCCGGTGGATCCGGTGGATCCGCCGACGAATCCCAAACCGGCGCCCTCGCTTGAGACATCCTCACAAAACCGGCCCCGGGGGAGGTGCCCAGTGGAGCGCCTCCGGCACCGTTTCCGGACAGATCCGCTGGATCCGGTGGATCCGTATGGATCCGCCGACGAATCCCAACCGGCGCCCCTCGCTTATACATTCCATCACAAAAACCGGCACCCGGGGGCGTTGCCCAGAGAGCCAGAGCGTCCTCCGGTACAGTTTCCGGACAGATCCGGTGGATCCCGGTGGATCCGGTGGATCCGCCAGACTAATCCCAAACCGGCGCCACAGAAAAGAAATCGCTTGAGACTCCCCCAAAACCGGCCCCGGGGGAGGTGCCAGAGGAGCCCAGCAGCGGCCTCCGGCACCGGGGGTTCCGGACAGATCCGGTTGGATCCGGTGGATCCGGTGGATCCGGTGGATCCGCCGACGAATCCCAAACCGGCGCCCTCGCTTGAGACATCCTCACAAAACCGGCCCCGGGGGAGGTGCCCAGAGGAGCCCAGAGCGGCCTCCGACACCGTTTCCGGACAGATCCGGTGGATCCGGTGGATCCGCCGACGAATCCCAAACCAGCGCCCTCGCTTACGACATCCTCACAAAACCGGCCCCGGGGGAAGTGCCCAGAGGAGCCCAGAGCGGCCTCCGGCACAGTTTCGGGACAGATCCGGAGGATCCGGTGGATCCGGTGGGTCCGCCGACGAATCCCGAACGGGCGCCCTCGCTCGAGACATCCTCACAAAACCGGCCCCGGGGGAGGTGCCCAGAGGAGCCCAGAGCGGCCTCCGGCACCGTTTCCGGACATATCCGGTGGATCCGCTGGATCCGGTGACGAATCCCAAACCGGCGCCCTCGCTTGAGACATCCTCACAAAACCGGCCCCGGGGGCGGTGCCCAGAGGAGCCCAGAGCGGCCTCCGGCACCGTTTCCGGACAGATCCGCTGGATCCGGTGGATCCGCCGACGAATCCCATACCGGCGCCCTCGCTTGAGACATCCTCACA